CTTGGCTTCTACACGATTTTATTTCTTTAGATTTTGACACCCCTTAGACAAAATTCTAGCTCCGCCACAGGTTCCAGGGGTTCAACCAAACTCTCTCGGAAAAATTACATAAGGTAAATTTTTTATATTTCTCTCAATATATATATTTTGAACCCCCTCAATAACAAAAAAAAACTGATAGTGCAGTGGTAAGCCCCCCTGAAATTAAGCTTCACATCACCAATTTGAATTGTTGTGATACACGTACTACAAGTGTGGTTTTAAACCCAAAAGAATTTAAGAATTCCATTTCTAAAGACTTAGTTACATGTTTATACATTTATTTTTTGAACCCTGAATGAAAATCATAGGTCTGCCGAATGCGGACGTGCATGCAGGGCTTAAGAGGTTACGTTCCATCCAGATTGATCTCTTTCGACATAAAATTATTTGTATTATGATTGATGTTTAATAGTATTGATTTTTTCGTGTGTTTACTTTTGATGAGTTCCATATATAGGCTCTTTAAGGGTGGGATGATTTCTTTATATGGGATTAGATAATTAATGATTATCATGCGCGCGATCACCTCATGAGCTAACTTTTTGAGTTAATTGTTAAACTAAGCTTAAAATCTGTGTTTTCTTAACATGAGGTTAACCATCTATCTTGATTTATGTGAATGAATTACTTGAAAATTTTATTTTTCCACTCATTTTCCGATATCATATGGATGTGTTGATATTGAACTATTGAAGCCCTAGAGGTATGTGTTATAAAATAGAATACCGACCATAGATGTTTAAGCTTAGAACATAATTAAGATTATAAGATAACCACATAATTAAAAAATCTTCTCTATTTATAAACTTAAGTATCGTGCTAAATCAAAACTAAACAAATAAATTAAAAACCGTAAATCGTTGAACAAAAGAGTATTAGATATGTTCATGATGGGTACCTGATCTTCCTTGCAAGTTTAGAGCAATAGCGTTCCAATTATGAGGTCCATATTTAGCAACTAACTCTCTCAATTTTTCATCTTCATGAGGCCTCCAATGCCCTCTGCTACACATGATCGATCGAACGATACGATATTAATTGGTAACTTTTGACCTAGCTAAGCTATGTATATATATATATATAAAAAAAGAAAAGGAGAAAATCAGATCGCGAAAACTTGAAATTAAAAAGTTTGTAGATGAGATTGAGATAAAGAAATTAGAATGAAGTTGTGGTAATTATAAAAGGGATGATGAAAATGAATTTATATTTATGGAAGAGAATTTTAGGTTGCGTAGTTGGAGAGAATCTTGTTCTGCTTTCAACGTCTTTACTGTTTTTCTAACCTACATGACATCTGCTCATAACCCACCTTACACTAATCCTTTTTTTATATATTTTATTCATTAATAAATTAATTAACAAAAATATTTACACTTACCTTATAGTCTTACCTTATCCAATATATTCTCCAATTTCCGTTAAATATGTATTTTTTAGCAGTAATTGTCACTCTTTGTATATGTATCTAAAGTCTTTAGCGATATTGGTTCTAATGACACTTAACTAATGCTGATAAAGACTTTAACACTCTTTATTAATGTTAATATTTAATGGCGTTAAAAGTTATTTTTGATGCAGTATTTGTCCCCCCTTAGCTCTAAATACAAGGTATAGTTCTTTCATTAAGTTACGTATCATGTCAATTTAACTAAAAACAAGATAGGATTGTTTTCTTTTAAATGTTATGCATTCTTCTTTAATACTTCTTTCGTGTACTTTTAGTTGTCATGTTGCGTTTTTTGAAAGACAATTTGATTAATTTTCAGAGTTAAATAATTAGATTACATTAACTCGATATTTTAAACAAAAAATTTACATATTCAAAAACTATATGAAAAGTACTATAAATTGCAATTTTTTTGCATATCAATATGATGAAAAAATACATCTTAAAATGTTAGTCAAAATTTTTATAGTTTGACTCTAAAAATAGAAACCATGACAATTTCCATCCACTTTTAGTTTTCATAGTTTCCTTTTTAGAGTTAAACTAGAAAAACTTTGACTAACATTATACGATATATTTTTTCATCATATTGATACGCGAAAAACTGTAATTAATTATAGTACTTTTCGTATAGATTTTGGATATCAAAATTTTATGTTTAGAATATTAAATTAATGTAGTCTAATTAGTCAAGTTGATTTTTGAAAAACACAAAATAACAAATAAAAATGGACGAAGAGAGTATTAATTAAGGTATATATAGATCTAGATAAAAATAATTGTCAACTTTAATTATAAATTTTAAATTATTTTGGGGGAAAATCTTCTAAGTGAAAATGACTATTGATTTGGGAGGTAAGTAGCCGTAAATAGATAATTTGTTTTATTTTCAAAAAAATTATTACAAAATTTCAATTTTACGGAGTTATGTACATCTTAAGGTGATTTTATGATATTAAGAAATCATTTCCAATATACTACATAAAAGTCATAAGTTTATCAACAAAAGAAGCTAAATGAAATTTGAATATTCTTTACATAATATTCCAGCCTAAATATTACAAACTTTCAACCTATATATAAGACACGAGTAGTAAATATTTTTCAAAATTAGGGATAAGGCAGAAAATTAAATCTTCTTTAACAAAGTGAAAATCATAAAGTCAACAACTTAGCTACACTAAATATTTTGCATATAAGATGAGTATCTATATTGTATTGGCTTGTGTTTTATTATTTATTTATTTATGCAATTGAACTGTGGATTTTTTGCATTCAACTTAATAAAAAGGCGACTATAAGTAATTGTGATGATAAGTATGGATTATATGACCTAGAAAAAAGATGATAAATGGCCTAATACATAAGTTTTAGTAATAATATTACATAAGATGATTAGAGCATTTTCTTTATAACCATGATTAAGAAATATAAAGAATCTAAAACAATTTAGTTTAAATACTAGTACTAGTAATAATGTCAAATGACTAGCTTGATCCAAACTTTATAATCGCGCTAAAAAAATCCACTTAATAGTATATATATATATAAATAATTAGTTCAGAATTAAATAAACTGTATTTCTAAAATATAAAATTTGTAAATTCGAAATTTTAGATAGCTGGATCCCTAGCTAATAACTCAGGTGAAAAAAGTAATTAAAATTTAAAGGGAGTCATTAGTGCTAAAAAGGGAATTAACCCTCTTAGTCATGGGTCCTCTTAACAACAATGATGTTGATAATCGATGACTAAACAAAAAAGTTAATGTTGCTTTTTCTCGTTAATATAAAGTTCAACAAAATAGATTATATATGTTATTATAATCTGTTAAACATGAATAACGAAAATGCAATATTATTATTAATAAAATAAAGAAATAAGCAAAAAGTTGGTAATTGTTTTGTTTCAAAAGATAACGAAAAGGTGTTGTTGACTTGTCATAAGACTACTTTCATATAGTTGGCCTAACTTAGGTTATTTTTACTATATTTTATTTTATGTGAAATTGGACTTGTTACAATTAAGGAAGTCTACATCTTTCTTCATCTCTCAATCTCCATTTGTAAGCAAAACTTTACAAGTTTCTATATATGTCATGTATCAACTTAGTCCTTCTGGTTCGTAACAACTACCAACAAAAATAAAATTAATTTCATATTTTTATATATTATATCGAAGATAGATTTGAATAAAAACAATTTAATTAAGCATACGAAAGTACAGATTCAACAGAACTTGAGAAACTCTCTAAACCATGTATAATTATTTAGAAATTCGTTGGATATGTCGATTTAATCAACTTCAAATTATATATTCGTATTTATATTCTATAGAGGATTAACAAGTAATTGCCTTATCGTTACCTCAAAAAAGATAACCTTAATAATAATAAATTTATACATAGCATATATATATATAGTTGACTAATCAATCAGGGTTGTGATAGAGTGGCCGGTAAATACTCCTTCATCCTTAAGAAGAAGTCTGATTCAAAAAATTCAAATTTAGTCAGAATTCAATATAGATATCGAAAAACAATATAAAAAGATATATGTTGGACTAGACTTTGTGTCTTCACCGGTTTTACCTACTTCCTTAATCTCTTCATTTTATTTCTCTTTGATATATATGATTTACGCATGCATATCTACGTTTAAAGGTTCATCAGCATATATATATATATATATGTGTGTGTGTGTGTTGTCAAATTTAGGATATATATATATTCTAAAGAATTCCCATTACGTACATATGGATACATATACAACTAAATTAAAGATCCGCCTCGAGATAAAATTGATTTATTATTAAGGATGTGTTTGGTATGACTCGGAATATATAACATTTTTTAATTTTTCTATATTTGATTGGTTAAAAAAAATTTCTATGAGAAAATAAATTTTAGAAAATATAGAAAATGACTTCACCAAGGAAAGTAAAAAAAAAAACAAAATTCATGAGTAACATTTCAAATTCGTTATTTTTAGCGAAATATATTAATTCCGCGCAACAAATATATATACCACAAAGTCTTATTATGTATAATTCATAAAAAAGAAAGTAATCGACTATTCATCTATGTGTTGGCGCTTAGCCTTTTACACTCATACAGTCGTACCTATAAAAAGTTGGTTCATTTTCACAGAGAGTAGTTAGCACACATGTAATTTGTACATGAACCAATGGAAGTTAAAGGAAATATAAAAGCTAACGTGCCATTTAATTTGGTCTTATCTGACATATATGCATTCTCAATTTATATGTGCGGAAATAAATATTTATGGGGTGTTTGAATTGACTTTTTAAAAGTGATTTATAGTTAAAAGGTATAATTTAGGAACACCCAGTTTTTACTTTTTTTGGTATTTTTTTTAATCTTAAAAATGTATTTTTTAAAGCATAAAAGCCAAAAAATCACTAAAAATAGGTTATTTTTATGTAATTAGGTTTTTCGCTTAACTCACACCACAAAAGCTAACTTAAAGGGTGGAGGATTGTTCAAGCATTATAAGGAGTCCACTCATTTCATTAACCACCGATTTGAGATTTTTTGTCATTCTTTAACAATTTTAACCATTCATTTACTATCATAAAATTAAATATGTATATATACACATCCTATGTGACAAATCCCGTGCGTATTAGTGAATACACATTTTCCCATTATACTATATACATTAACTTTACAACAATGTAATCATGCAATTATACTTTTCTTGTCATTCAGTAAGCGTTTGATCACGTTTATTGTGAAAATAAAAAAATAATAATTTATTTTTAAAGCGAAAAATAAAATTTGAAAATTATTCAAATTTGATCTGAAAATAAAAAAGAAAATTTTCATGATCAAACATCCGCTCGTTTTTCTTATATATGAGTATGTTCACCTAATCAATATGTTAGCTTGTCTGTTCAATTCATCATATCATTTTCTACACATTCTTTTACCTGAATTGAAATTTATAGGATTTGAAGCTACACAATTAAGTTTCTCAACTGCAAATTGCTAACTGAAAACTAACAGCTTAACCATTTACAAGTTAAATAATTTTATTTTCCCTCTTGACATTTAAAATTAGGTATACACCTACCTGACCTAATTTATCTATTCTCATTAAGAAACTTATACTTCTTGTTTTAAGTAACACAAATAAATTTGTTATTCAATCATCTTCATTAAATTCCAAGATTGCACTTTTCTGTTACTTCATTTTAATTTCAGGTGAATAATTCAATGAACAATTAGTTTTTGGAAAGTTAGATACAAGTATGTTAGGGCAGGGTGTTCGCGAAAAAATCAAACCAAATCGATCGAAAGAACTTATATTTGGTTTGAAATTTTAAAATTTTCATAATGTTTGAGTTGATTTTTACTAAAATAACCGATAATTTGTATACATAAATTTTATAATTATTTAAATATATGATATTCATTTTAATTTTCATAAATAAATATTTTACTTATTTTATACCTTTCAATCATTAATTTGATTTTGATCTACTTATTTCATATGCTCTAAATAACACCTTTAAAAGTTCATTTCTTTAAAGATATATCCAAACACAACACCTCTAAGTTTAATTTTAATTTCTATATGTGTTATAATGGTGTATAACCAATTTTTAATTTTCACTGCTAAAATAATCATCTACTCACTTTCCCCTTTAATGTTCAAAGGATTGATCATTTCATTTACAGTGGTATATTGCTGATGTGGATATGGAACAAATGAGATGGAGGAAGCTCTACAATTAAATATGTTAAAAGTATTATAAATTAAATATGGTAAAAGTATTGAAAAATGATAGAAAATTCAGATGTATTCATGTTGTGATAATAGAGAGAATTTTTATCAATTCCTCATGTTCATGATTTGAAAATAGTTGTTTCATGCCACTATTATAAATTTTCATTAGTTAGTTTATAAATTAAAAAATTGAACCAGATCAATGATTTTTATTTTATTTGA